AACACGCATTCTTTGAGCACAGTTATTTGAGTGACTTGCAAAAACAGTTCAAGTCCTATCTCTGCAACTAATTGGCAGTGTGACTACTGCCTCTTGTAGTATTATACATTATTGTTCCAGCTGCTATGCTGAAGTAGGAGCTCTCAATGTCTTTGACTTAAGAGAAATCCTATATAATTGGCTAGGATGGCGTATCTGCATCAGTCAAACATAGTGTCTCCCCTTTCTCCTTCATAACTAAACTGATTGACAAATAATGCTGAAATTGTAATGAACGCTATGCCTCTGATGTACTTACAAATTAGTATTATATGTGAAAACTTATTTAACTTTTCCATGATGTAGAAATCTTGTACAAAAAGGTTTTCTCACACACTGTACAGTAATGCTCATCACATATTAGTATAAAGAAAATATCATGGCATCTTTTACACTGATTTTCAGTGCTTGAATTTGAGAGAAGTTAGGGGAGATAATTTTTTCTCTTGAAACTGGAAATATGAAAATAAGTCATGGAGATAATTGGGTAAGTGCATTTCCTGAAAATATCCTGTATCTTTCTGGTTTATTTTGTTTGCTTGATAATCAGGCCTTACAAGATTACCAAATTCCCTTTATTATCACATTTAATTGAAAGTTAATAATCTATTTCCTTTGTCAATGAATGTTTCATTTTTACAAAATAATGTGCAGCAGTTGCACAGATCAGTTTATGTGGGTGAATGAGGTCATTTGAAGCTTTCCACATTTATACTACAGCCTATTCTTCAACAAAAAAATTGAAGAAGTTGCTTAGTACTTCAAGAGACTGGGCTGGGTGTGGTGGCTCACGCCTGTAATCCCAGCACTTTGGGAGGCCCAGGTGGGTGGATCACCTCAGGTCAGGGGTTCGAGACCAGCCTGGCTAACATGGTGAAACCCTGTTTCTACTAAAAATACAAAAAATTATCCAGGCATGATGGTGCATGCCTATAATCTCAGCTACTTGGGAAGCTGAGGCAGGAGAATCACTTGAAGCGGAGGTTGCAGTGAACCAAGATGGCACTATTGCACTCCAGTTTGGGCAACAAGAGCAAAACTCCATCTCAAAAAAAAAAAAAAAAAAAAAAAAGAACTTCAAGATATTTTACAATCTTGAGATTGCAGGTATGATTTCTTTTTGGTTTGTTTTGAAAATAAAATTTCAAGCCCATAGAAAATTTGAAAGAAGAAAACAATGAATACATGTATACTCTTCACCTAGATTCATTAAATATTTATATTTTGCATCACTTTTTGTCTCTACCTGATAAAGTTTTTTGTATTTTAATTTTTTCATTTATTATTTATTTATCTATTTTAACTTTTATTTTAGGTTTGGAGGTACATGTGCAGGTTTGTTATAGAGATAAACTTGTGTCATGGTGGTTTGTTGTACAGATTATTTCATTACCCAGGTATTAAGCCTCGTACCCATTAGTTATTTTTTTCTACTCTTCTTCCTCCTCCCACCCTCCACTCTCAAGGATGCCCCACTGTCTGGTGTTCTCTTCTTTGTATTCATAAGTTCTCCTCATTTAGCTTCCACTTCTAAGTGAGAACATATGGTATTTGGTTTTCTGTTACTGCATTAGTTTGCTAAGGATAAGGGCCGCTAGCTCCATCCATGTTTCCACAAGAGAAATGACATAATTCCTTTTTTTGGCTGCATAGTATTCCGTGGTGGATACACACGTTTTTAAGGAGACTTTTAATTCAATATCATCTAACATACAGTCTATATTCACATTTCCCTAATTGTCACAAGTTACTTCTTTTCTCGCTTTTTAAAAACATTTTCTTATTAGAAATTAATATGTGTGCATGTTAGAAATGTAAAAAGTTTAAAAGGAGATTTCATGGAGCTTAGACTATATTCTATCCCTCACCTCATAGTGCAAATACTGTGAATCATTTCATAGGTATGGTTTCAGAAATTTTCTACAAATATATACTACATATTTTTAGATAGATGGAAACATTATATAATAGAAGATATTTTCATATAAACACATAAAAATATCCTATTTTCATACAAGCACATATAAGTCCTACTCACTGATGTTTAATTTAACAAACTTTATTTTTAGAGCAGTTTTATGTTCATAGCAAAATTGAGTGGAAAGTATAGAAAGTCAATCCCCACGGATGCACAACCTCCCCTACAAGGGACATCCTGCACCAGAGTGGTGCATTTGTTATAACTGATGAATCCACATAGACACACCATTACCACCTAAGGTCCATAGTATACATTAGGGTGCTCACCCCTCGTGTCTGGGGTATGAGGGACTGGAGTCTCCTAGGGTTGGCTTGTATCCTGGGTTTGCTGGAGCATGGAGTTATGCGGGCAGCCTGGAGCCTGGAGCAGCAGGGACTGGCCTGGCTCTGGGTGGCTTGGAGTCTCTATCTGTGGGGACTGGCCTGGAGCCTGGAGTTATGGGGCTTAGTCTGTCACTGGGGCAGGCCTGGAGGCTTAGTCTGCAGGTACCAGCTTGGAGCCTAGGGCTCTGTGGGCCAGCCTGGCACTGAGTTTCACTGGAGCAATGCTGGTGCTGGGTCTGTGGCAAAGTCTGGGACTCACTTTACTCTCCTTCCCCGACTTGGAGGATATCTTGCTCCATGCTGTGTTGCTTAGCTTGGAGGGGTGATGTGATGCAGAAAATGTGAAACCGTTCTTCCTACTTTCTTCAGTGGGTCCTACTGTAGTTCTGTGCTACACACAGGTGCTATAATCTCTCATTCTTATGATATTTTCATTTATGGAGAGTTGTTCAGAGAGATGTTTCTATGAGAATATTAGTGCTGGAAAGTCCTATTCCACCATCTTGTTGATGTCACAATCCAAGAGCCATACCTACTTCCTTCCTTCCTTCCTTCCTTCCTTCCTTCCTTCCTTCCCTCTTCTTCTTCATCTTTGTCTTCTCCTCCTCCTCTTCTCCTCCTTCCTTCCTTCTTTCTTTCTTTTCTTTTCTTTCTTCCTCTCCTTCTTTCTTCCTTTTTCCTTTCTTTTTTCAAAACTAGTCAAGTGAAGCAATGGGAGTGGAGAGAGGGAACAAAGAAATCTGTAACCAGTTATGATCAATTTGTTGTAAATAGCACTGCACTCCAACAACCCATATTATCTTTTGATTAGGGTTAGCATGGTATATCTTTCTCCATCCCTTTACTTTTAATCTATATGTGCCTATGTTTCAAAAGAGTTTCTTGTAGACAATATATAGCTGCGTCTTATTTTTTGATCCACTCTGGCAATCTGTCTTTTAATTGGAATATTTAGACCACTGACATTTAAAGTGATTATTAATATAATTGGATTAATATCTGTGATACCTGTGACTATTTTCTATTTATTGCCTTTGCTATTTGTTCCTATTTCTGTCTTCCATACTTCTTCTGACTTTTGAGGTATTGAACATTTTATTATGATATAGTTATATAATGATATATACATATATATGATATATTATGGAATTATGTTGTAATGTATGGTACCATTTGGTCTTCTTTCTTAGTATATCAATTATGCAGCTTTATTTTTTTTAAGGAGGAGTCTCACTCTGTAGCCCAGGCTGGAGTGCAGTTGTGTGATCACGGCTCACTGCAGCCTCAAACTCCCCGGCTCTAGTAATTCTGCTCCAGCCTCCTGAACAGCTGGGACTATAGGTGCATGTCACTGTGCCTGGCTAATTTTTAATTTTTTTGTAGAGACAGGGTCTCAGTATATTGCCCAGACTGGCCTTGAACTCCCAGGCTCAAGCAGTCCTCCTCCTTTCACTTCCCAAAGTGTTGGGATTACAGGCACGATTCAGTGCACCTGGTCATTTATGCCTCTTCTTAAAATCTTTAAAGTGGTTGCTCTAGAGTTGGCAATATACATTTACAACGAATTCAAGTCCACTTTCAAATACAGGCACTCTGCAAATACTGTGCTTTTCACAAATTGAAGGTTTGTGGCAACCCTGCATCAGGTGAATTTATTGGTACCATTTTCCCAACAGCATGTGCTCACTTTGTGTCTCTGTGTCACATTTTGGTAATTCTCACAATATTTTAAATATATATATATATATATATATATATATATATACACATATATATATTTTTAGATGGCGTCTTGCTCCATTGTCCAGGCTGGAGTGCAGTGGCATAATCTCGGCTCACTGCAACCTCTGCCTCTTAGGTTCCAGAGATTCTCCTGCCCCAGCCTCCCAAGTAGCTGGGACTACAGATGTGTGCAACTATGTCCACCTAATTTTTGTATTTTTAGTAGAGATGGGTTTTTGCCATTTGGCCAGGCTGGTCCCAAAATTCTGACTTCAGGTGATCTGCTCTCCTCGGCCTCCCAAAGTGCTGGGATTACAGGAGTGGACCACTGAACCCAGTCTCTCACTTTAAATCAAATACCAGAAATGAGTATGGTTAGTGAGGAAGGTGTTTTGAAAGTCTGTATAGAATGAACGCTAGCTGTCTTGTGCCAAACAGTTGGCCAAGTTGTGAATGCAAAGGAAGAGTTCTTGGAGGAAATTAAAAGTGCTACTTCAGTGAACGCACAATGCTAAGCAAGTAAAACAACTTTATTGCTGATATGGAGTAAGTTTTACTGGTCTGGGTAGAGGATCAAACCAGCCACAACATTCCTATAAGCCAAAGCCTTATCCAAGCCAACACCCTAACTGTTCAAGCCTGTGAAGACTGAGATAGGTAAGAAAGCTACAGAAGAAAATTTGAAAGCTAGCAGAGGCTAGGTTTAAGAAAAAAAGCCATCTCCAGAACATAAAAACGTTAAGGGGAAGCAGCAAGTGCTAAGGCAGAAGCTGCAGCAAGCTGTCCAGATCTACCTGAGATAATTGACGAAAGCTGGCTACCCTAATAACAGATTTTCAGTGGGGGGAAAAAAATGTTATATTGGAAGAAGATGTTATCTAGGACCTTTACAGCTTGAGATAAAAAGGCAGTGACTGGCTTTGAAACTTCAAAGGGTAATCGCTTTGGCAGCACATATACTATAAAAACTGAAGTGATACAGAGAAGATTAGCATGGTCCCTGCACAAGGATGACATGCAAATTAGTGAAGCATTCCATTAAAAAAAATTATTCAAAGGGCAGGTTGATTCTCTTGTTAGGGGCTAATGCAGCTGGTGATTTTAAGTTGAAGACAATGTTCATGTACCACTCCAAAAATCCTAGGGCCTTTAAGAATTATTTTAAATCTACTCTGGCTGTGCTCTAGAAATAGAACTACAAAGCTTGGATGACAGCACATCCTTTTACAGGATGGTATACTGAATATTTTAAGCCCACTCTTGAGATCTACTGCTCAA